GCGTTGGAGAATCCGGCCCTGGCTCCCCATTTTGTTTCCCTCCCTTGTGACCCAGCGGGGTAGAAAGAGGGCCGGGTAGCGGTCAGGTCACGCGTGGTTATTTCCCGAGTGGGTAAGGGTTAAAACTTTCTGTGGGTGGCCTAGAGGCCCTGCGTGCAGTCAGGTGAGGAGGAGAAGGGCAACCAAAGCTGAGTGGCGCGTGGTTAAATCTAACGGGTAGCGCCGGTTGTGTGAGGTCTTGTCAGTGTGGCCAGAAGGTCAGAATGCAGCAGCCTGAGTGCCAATTTCTACGTCCGTAAGAGTTTTTCTAGGTGAAATAGGTGTTTCCACTTTGTTTTGATGGCGTGCAGCGAGAGGAGAGGGAGCTGTCACAGTCTGCGTGGTTGCTATTCCTGGTGCAGGAAGAGCAAAGCTGCTCTTATCTCTGAAAAATTGAACAACCTCTGTAGGATAGCGGGGCTGCTCAGTAGCTGCAAGGACTAGATAAGGAATACTTGAAGCAAGAAACATCAGTGGGGAGATGGATCAGAGCAGCTGATGGAAGCTGTGCTTGACACTCTCAAGGTACTGGGAGGCAGACGGGGAGATAAGCACAGGCTCCGGGGTGGAGGGGGAAAGAAGACACCCTCCATTCTCTGAGCAGCAGCCTGGACTCTGAAGGAAATGGAAGCAAAGCAGGATGTGCCAAATTGGCCTCACAAAGTTATCACAAAGTAATAAATCACATTTGACTGAAGATGTATTCAAAAGGTTGGGGCTTTTTTTGAGTGTTGAATTCAGTTTGAAAGTACAGAGAAAATTTGCTGTGATAGATTTCCAAGACAGTAGATATGAGTTTGTGGAAGTATTTGGAGGCAGAGGGCAGCAGTAAAATGTAATTGTATTTGGTAGTTAATGAACTTGAAAAGCTTAGTTATCAGTCATATCTACTGTGTGTTTTCAAAGTGTGTGTGTGTATATAGGAAATAACTGATTTTCTTAGCCAATAATGGTTTGTCTTCCTGAATGCCAGTGCCATAGGCTATATCTGTCTAAAATGCAAATATCTGTGCAGCTGCTTCTTCAGATGTTTTAATTTGCAGTTCAATGAACCTAAAATTTCTTCTTGTGCTACAGAAGTGATCAGATATTACAGTCTTTTAATTTTTAATACTTGGGCTTAGTGTTGATATGCTATTCTGAACAAGAGATTGGAAGGGAAAAGAAAGAAACAATTCCAGAGGTAATTAGTTTTTCAGTGATCCCAAAACAATAACTTTCAAAACACATTCAACTTGAGTGAAAAATGTGACTAGCCCTGGCAGATTTGCTTCCATTAAGGGAGGAGATGCAGTTTTTATGTGGCATGGCTGCAAGCAAGTGCTGCATAAAATGGGACCAATGGTGGTGCTGCAGCACTTCTGCTGTCCCTGGTAAAACTGTCTAGTGAAATAGAAATATTTACAGATAACAGTGCTAGGGGAAGTGAGAAATTGATCGCCATAAATTGTCAGTCATTAAATGCACTGCTAATAAAAGGTAAATCTAGTAATAGAAAATATATGGTTATCATGTTTAAAGGCAGAATGGAAAGTTTTAGGTATTTGTGGAATGTTATAGATGTTTATGTAAGTAAGCGTTGGTGGTGTCAATATTTCTGTTCCATACTTGAGACTAATACTTGTCTTGGCACTTTAATTGCTAAATACTGTTAGATGTAATAGTAGCCAGGGAGGGTACAGAACATGGATCATTCATGTGAAAAGCTTCTTGGTGTGAGGTTTAATAGCTACCCCAATGACGAAAGAATGAACAGAACTAATGATTTAGATATTGAATGATGCTCAACTAAGGAAGTTCAGCAGGACAGGAAAAGTACTGTGCTATTGTTTATGCAGGTAAATGATATGGTCTTCATTGACATTGATCATGAAGTAATATGTTGAGCAGCCACATGATATTGCATATAAGATGTAACTGATGTAGAATTAAAGGATGGTGCCATGATCCATGCCACTCAGTGAAACTTTAGCTAGAGATGTACTGCCAAATTTATGTCAAACTATATTCAGCCGACACTAACTGTCATAAATATATGCAAGTCTTTTAAGGCATTTGAGTTGCTTCTGTGCGATGCTGATTGCAGTAGCAATGTTATGGACCTGATGCAATATATAAAATGGATTTCAGTTGCACGGGCCAAAAATAAATTCCAGACCTCTTCAGAAAACAATGTTGAGTGGTGGTTTTGGTTGTGGGTTTGTGCTGGTTTTTTTTGGCGTGCATCTGTTCTTGACATGATGCTACTCAAATATTTCTTAATTTAGAAGACAGCAAGCATTGTAAGGAAATAGTACAAATACTGAAGTAATTTCTGTCAAATGAAGAGAAACTCTTCTAGAAACCAACTTTGATCATGTGCTAGGCTGCATTCATTTGAGCAACATGCGTTTTAACATGGCTCAGTGAAAAGTCACAGCTAGGAGCTATGAATATAGGTCGCTCAGGATAGGAGACTGTATTTTGGAAAGCATTGACTCCGAAAATGATTTGGAGCTCTGATGTATTACCAGTTGAGCGTGAAATTGCAGTACAATATAGTGGCTTATGGGATAAATGCTGTCTTTGGGTAGCTTAGTGGGGTTGTGTTATTACTGCTATATAGCATTAGAGGGACAATTAGAGGAATATTATGTCCTGTTTTGGGGACTATTCTTAAAAATAACGCTGCTGAGACGGAAAGATAATAAGACAACCAGAGAATGGCTATAGCTCTGGGTAGCATAACTTACTGAAACTAAAGAACTGAGGTAAAGTGTGTCATTAGTGTTTGCATTTCTGTGTTGTACAAGATGTTTGAAAGAAGACTCCTTTAATTAGCAGAAAGACATCATTAGATTCAGTAGCTGAAAACAAAACTAGACAATTTTTTTTTTTTAGGCAAACAGCTGTGGTTTTTTGTTTGTTTGTTTTCTTGGGGTGTTTTGTTTAAACTGAGGGCATAAAAATGACTTGCTTGGGAATGTGTTGTGTTTTTCTAATGTGTTGTCTTCAAAGTCTTGGTGCTCTTTGAAATGATATCTAGCTCAGCCAGGAGGTATGGACTTGGTAACATTTCATGGGCTGCGTTATAGAGGAGAATGAGCTAAATAATCATAGGGATCCCTTTGAGAGAGAGATGCAACTAGTGAGTGAGGAGGGAAGGAGAGAAAGCAGGAGAGTTACTGTGGTGAAATGTTGAGTCAGTCCCTTGACCGCAACTGGCCTGGGGACCTGTTAATGGGTCCCATCCTTCCGGAGGGTCCAGGCTCAGCTAGAAATAATTAGGAGACTGTGCAACAATGCCCAGCTGCTTTCTCTCCTCCGCTTCATCTTAGCTTGCTCTTGCTCCTGCTGTCACCTTTGCTTTTGTCCTGTGCCAGTATGGGCGTGCCACGCGTGTGCCAGCTCTCAGCTTGTCTATAAGGCTCTGCTGCTGTTGTCTGTTTACGTTGCATGAAGACCTATGTCTTGGACTTGCTTGGAATGTCATTTATTGGAAAAACAACAATCCTAAAGGCTTTGGATCGTTCTTTAGAAATCAGTATTTACAAATTATGTAAAATCGTCCAGGAATTGTATATAGAGGTAATTTTATGTTCTTCATAATTTTTCTATAAAGTTTACCATCGCTTTTAAAGTCACTAGCGTTTTCCCATGAGGGTATAGCTGATAGTGGATACATAGCTGCTGATCTCACCACAGCCTGAGCTGTACCCTGCTTTTGAGGGATTTGGGTCGCTTCTCCTAAAAGGCTTGTCAAAGTGTTTGATCAGTGCTTTCTGTTTTCTTTTTGATTAAACCCTCTTGTTTGCCTTAATTTGCCAAGTATGATGCACATTTCAAGAAAAGAAAATGAGCAGTGTGATTGTTGGTTTAGAAAACTTTGAAAGTTTTGTCTTTCATTAAAATGTGCTGACTGCTTTTGGACATGCTTGTCACCTGGGTACTTTTGTAATTTAGCCTGTTGGTTTGAAGTGGTATGAATAGTAATTGCCTGCTTCCTGAATCCGTTCTTCTGAAATGAACTGGGCTTTATGAGTTAACTTAGCCCAAAACCCATCAAGAGGAAACACTCAAACCCTCCATTCTCTTTGTAGCTTGATGAAAACATCTCTTTGTATTCTTCCACATACAGTTTTGTGTATAGGCTTTATTCCCAGTGGTTTGCACTGCTTGAATACCTAATCATTCTATATAGCACAATATAGCATGTCAGTAGTGGGTTGCTTCCTTTTTCATTGCAAAATAAATTAAAATGAATGGGGATATATATTTTTTTAAAAAAATTAAAACCCAAATGAACTAACTTGATCCTGGAAGCATAGTTTCTAACGCTTGTGATTAACATTACGAGAATTTTTTTTTTTTCTACTGAGCATCTTTGCAATGGACTTTTCCATGATGGGATTATTTAGAGAAAGTCTTCAGCTCATATGTGTAGCAAATACTTATGGAGTGTCTGAAAAAAAGTTAAAAGTTAAGCTTGTATTGTTCTCGGAAGCAAGAGTAGTTCTCTTGAGATGCAAAATTGTTTTTAACTTTATCACATATATTCTTAACGCAACTTGCTGGTTCAGGGAGTGTCTTACTCTTAGATGGCAGATACGCAGAACTTCATATGACTCCTGTACTGGTTGTGAAATTTTGGTCAGGAAGCTTTTCTGTAGATATCCTGCCGTTTTGCAGTTAGCTGAACTTTTTGGGAGAGACTTGATTGCTACCTCTGGTCCTAGGTGTCTGTCTTGCTGTTACAGCTTTTCTCATGTTTTCCCAGGCTGTGAAGTATTTGTCCTGTGCTTCTCTGGGTCTTGAACACTATTACAGGGTGGATGATTTACAGGAGGAACTGCATGCCAGACTTGTAGATAGAGCCCACTGTACACAATGAAATTCAGTGTCAAGTGTGAGATTCCACTACTAATGCACTATAGGAACAATGAAACTTAGAACAACAGTAGGGGAAAATGTCCCCCCAGTGTAATTTGTAAATAGTTTCTTCAAGTTTGCTACTCACTTATTTTAATACCTTTTCCACCTCCTGCAACACCATCTGAGAAGCAATATCTGATACAATAAATGACAGTTCATCAGTTATTTAAGTTAGCATAGCTGTTATTAAAGTTAAAAAAGTTTCTGGATAGTCTGTTTTGCATCCCTGCAGGTTCCTGCCATTGCATTTAGAAGTGGCAGTGATCTGAAAAACCTGACTAGTATTCCAGGCTTTGAAAGCCCTATGAAATGCTGTTACTTCAGTTATGCAGATAACAGAATTAATGTGCAACATAGCTTCATGGGAGTTTGTGAAAAATAAGGCGAAACTGCTTGCATTGTGGTCAGCTGCAAGGCTCTGGGGTGCTGTATACCCATTGCCAAAGAAATTGTGTTATATTGCTAAAGAAACTTGTGCTCTGCTTATCAATGAGACTTTTGTGTTATTAAAGCACCTTTTATAGGAAGGTGAGCCATCTTTTGTGCTTTGATGGAGATGTTGAGTTTTGTACCAAGCGTACATTTTGTTAGCATGAAACAAAACAGCTGTTCTAGCTTGAGCTCATTTTGTTGATGTACAAATTGCAGTTAAGTTTTCAAACCTAATTTTTTTTGCAAACTGTGCTTCCACCAGCTCTGTTGTCCTTTCTTGGCCTAGGCTGATAGAGTGGTGCTGCCGACTGGGAGATCTGCTTATTTTTGCATGGTGGTTCTGCATAATGCAGCTTTTCTGTCAGTTCTGTGACAAATGAGAGTCACTGCTACACAAGGAGTGTAGGCATACATATGTAGCCTGTACTACTGTATTATTGATCTTCAGTGTAATCTCTGTAGTGGTAAATTCATACCTACTGGATTTTCTGGTATTACTGAAATTGGGGGGTTGGCAGAACTGTACTGGTTCACAGCAGAGACTTCAGGCACAGCCCTGATGTGCAGCAAAGGAGAACTTATATTTTCCTGGAGTTACTGGATATTCCTCTTAACACTATTGAGTATTTTTTGATTAAACATGTGGATGAGAAAAACAGAATAGAATTTATGAATATTTGTTTAAAAAAATAATCTAATGTTTCCTTCCAGATTATAAAAGCACTTAAGGTACTACAGGATTTGGATATATCACTGGATATTCTAGTGGTAAGTGACCAGTAATACATTAAACTCTTCCATAGTGAATTCCTGTGTAAATGTCAGGGGTCTGCAGTCATAGAAGCAGTGAACATTGTTGTGTTTTGTAGTTTTGACTCTTAATCCTGATTTGTTTAGAGCTCTGTACAAGGAACCATGGTGCCTTTTCTGAAAGCCAGCTGGAAGCTGGGCATACAACTTGACAAACGCAGTATTATGCCAACAGCAATAGTACTGAGCAGGAGTCTGAGCCTATAGAGAACACTTTGCTACTCAGGGTTGATTTCTTCTCACTGCTTCCAAGTCAGTGCTTAAGAGAAAGCAAAATATGGGTGAACCTTTCTTTAGGTCAGTTGTTTAAATCATGTGACTTTTATTAGCAGCTCAAGGTTAGTTTCTCACATTTAAGCAGCTGGCATCCCAAGTAGAAATTCTCACACTGGTCTATGAAGCTTCTAGTTATTATGAGCAATGTGTCTGTATTTTGGGAAGAAGAAAAATCCTTCTCACAAAGAACTCTTTCTGTGAGAGAATTCTTTGAAAAGTAAGAGAAAAATATGATAATTAAGATATTTGGCTGGCCTATTCAGGCACAGGCATTTGCCTGCCTAAACACAGGTAGATTTCTGTTGGAATATGGCAATATTTATATATTCTTATTGGGAAACAAAATAATCTCATACTGCAATTAGTTTTTCAAAATGACAAAGGTCTTCTGCAGACAGCTTGTTCCCAGCAAACTTGCATGTTTTACATGTGACAGACTTTGATGGAAGCCTTCAAGTCAAATAGAGGAAAGAGATCTTACAGCTGAGGACTCCACATATTTCTAATGCATTTGAAGAACATAAATAGCTTTAGGAAATAATCCCACCATATTTCTTGCCTCTATTTGCAGTACACTGACCTACCAAACCAGTATTGCTCAAATTATATAGAAGCTAAATATCCTTAAAGTGAATTTAAGGAACTTCTTTCTAAGGTCTGAGCTAATTTTGAGGGAATAGCATGTGTATAGCTCTTGCCCAGGCTTCACAGGAGTATCATTTTGCTTGTTAGCAAAATCATTAACAGGTTGCTGCTAACCTAGTGAATTCCAAGTTTTATGTGCATCTTAAAGTGAGGGGTAATTAATGATAATACAGGATTAAAAAAAAAAAATCACCTGTAATTCTATATACACTCAAAGTCTGAAAGATAGGTGTGCTTAAAGAACGTAAAACTCACTAGAGCAAAACCTGAAGGCACAATGGTAATGTGAAAATAATTGTACTGGGGAAACAAGAACCAGAAGGTTTTAAATGGCAAGGGTTTGGGTTTTTTTCTGTGGCTGAAACTGAGACTGAGTTTAGTTATATGAACTCGTGCTTCTCTGACCCCTCTACCCCATGCTGCTACTCAGTGAGATGCATTTTAGGTTACCATATTTCCATTCTATGTGTTCTCTGCTAAAATGTATCTGCATAAGCCTAAAGGGAATTTGGATTGATTAATCTGGTTTGATGGAGCAGTATGTGTTTTGTGGGCATAAGCATTCGGGACAAGTGAAATTCCTGAAATACATACATTTAATAGAGGAAAATTACTTATCTTAGTTTTATGAATTAAGACTGCATTTTGTTTCCTGTATTTGGTTATAAAGATCTACCTTTCCTTCGGTTCTGTTTGTGGTGTAAAGAGTATGTTTATTTCTTAAGCTGCCATAAGACTGCTCTGACTACTAGGCTAAATGTTGTTTGTAGCAGATTTAGAGAAGATTTTATTTGGGATGTTAGTTGTGATTTATTCTGCCCATCTTTCTTGCACCATCTTCAACAGGAAACTGGCATAGGCAAAACAGTTAACAGTTTTAGGAAACATGCCACTGCTGGGAATGTAGCGAAAACCCTGGTAAAACAGTGGAAAAAACTTATTCCTCCAGAAAATAAAAGGTAGGTGTGAACTAAGTTTTTTCTAAAAGTTAATTATACTGTCGTATAACTTTATAAAATGCAGCTTGGAAAGCTTAGGAAAGTGTTTGGAATGACAAATATGCATTAGGACAAATCCATAAATTGAATGGAAGAAATGAGTCTTTCTGTTATAGACTATCAGAAAACAAGTCAGAGCAACCAATGTTGGTCAATTAGCCAGCCAGCTCTCAGACTTCCACTGCTGCTTTTTTTTATCTGGCACAAGTTCTTAGGTCCCAGCTGATGCAAGCAGGACTAAGCCAATGATGGGCACTGCTCTGCACTTCTTCAGGGAAGTGGGAAGCTTGCTCTTTCTTCCCAGAGGTGGTGGTTAAATGAGGCAGCTCTCCAATGATTTGAGTGCATAGAAGACTTCCCTATATGTTCTTGTGGACTGAGAGGGGCTTCCCATATTGGAGGAGTCATCCTGAAGAGATGAGATTTCTTCTCTGAATGAAGCAGCCACCACTGCCATGGACGGGCTGGCTGTGCTTTAGATGCTTTGCAGACCTCCGACAGTTTGAGGCAGTTGAGCTGAGAAAGCCAGATTGACTGAATAGTGCATTTTAAATATGAAGTTGTTGAAACAGGAAACTGAAATACCAGAACCAGTGATAAGCAAAGCATAAAGGCTGACCTGTTGTAATCTGTGTCATAAATTCTGTCTGCTAGTTATTTCAAGTAGCATGTCTGTGTTATAAAGTGTGCAGGGAAAGCTGCGTAAAAAGTGGTATCCAGCATGTTATGAGCAAATAGTACTGTCAGGCATGTTTTCCTACTGGTGGTTATGTCCCTACTCTCCACTTGTCTTGCTGTCAATTCTTGTTGCAGTGTTTAGCTGTGCTGGACCCAAGAGCTGCTCCTCTGGGATTCTGTACTGGTAACAGAAGAATAAGAGCACAGCAGAGCACAGTTCCGTGTCTTGTAAAATTATGATTGATGGTGTGATTTAATGCTTTTTGGTTATACTAATATAGGTAAAAAGATTGATTGTTCAAGAATTTAGCATCAGATGTAGCATGGGCTGTGATTATTTTTTTTTAATGTTGCAGTGGTCGTAGAGGAAGAAAACAAAATACTGAAAAGGAAAAAGATGAGACAAAATCTTCCATTTCCAAGGAGATTAAGCCTTCAGAGAAGTCCAAAGCATCAGTACTGGCCTCCAGAAGTTCAAATAGCGCTCTCACTTCTAAAAAGTTGCATAAGCAGCGTACTTGTAGTGAAAAGACCCACCAAAGTAGAGGTTCTGAGTCTCAAAAAGAGTGTGACAATAAAGAATGTAGCAGCAGTGGTTCTAAGCATGCTTCCCAGGGTACCAATCCTCAAGCTAAAGAAAGTGACTTCAAAGAGGGAACCTCCACAGGCAGCAAGAAAGCTTCAGAAAAGCAGCATTCTGCTGTAGCCAATAAAGATCTATCACCCCTGAAGGAAAAGCCTAGTAAGGATTCTTCCAAACAGAGAAATCCTAAGCATGTGAAGAAACCAAAACAAAAACTTGTGATAAAAAGCAAAGCTGAATTATCTAGCGATGAGGAATTTGAGCCCCCTACTATGTCTTTTGAATCTTATCTTAATTATGATCAAGTTACCAAAAAAAGAAAGAGGAAGGCTTGTCCTACAGGTGAACAGCCAAAGAAGTGCAGTGAACAGAAAAACAGCTCATTACCACAAAAGACTTCAACATTTTCTCATGCAAAAGAGGGAGTGGAAGATGTAAAAAAATGTGAGGGTGATCAATCAGAAACTCCCAATAAAAAGGTAAACCACCGTGTTGTTGGAGTAATAGCAAATAAACTGCAGGTGAATAAGTGCTTTGGACTTTTACTTTCATTGAAATTCAGCTGTATTTATTTTAAGCAACAGAAGGCATGGCTCTGATATACCAGCTGCATTGCAATTGCCAATAATTGCAATAACTGGGGCAAAAAAATTATTGTTTATTAAATACTGGCAGTTTACAATCAACTTGACTTATATTTTCAGGATGATTTCCAATACGGCACTAGTCTTTGATCCATATCAGCTGATCTGCTTATTAGCTGCAAAGTAAAGGTACTTACCTTTGCAGAGAAGTCCCCTTCTTCCATTCTTGACCAGCCTAGTTTGTGACTGTAGGAGCTGTTTGTGTGTAGCACACTTGTTTTCTCAGATGTTGTGGTTCTTTAACAGTGAATGTTAAGGTCTGCAGTGGAACCGAACTTTCTTCTTTTAATGCATTGAAGTAAACCACAGTATTGCATATAAAAATAGCTTATACATGTTTTTAATGTGAACTACCTGGTCCCTTGAAGTGAAAGAAGCTTAAGTAGCTCCTCTGAGCCAAGGTAGATCTAAACGTGTATTAATTATACCTTTGAAATGAAGCCCTTTTGTGCACTGGGAATTAGAGGTCTCTTCAGTCTTTTATCTTTACTGTGATGTGAAAACTCCAGGCTTTACTGATTGTGGAAGATCTGCAATCTGAATGTGGTATCTTCTGTCCCAAATGGAGAAATACTAATGTAAAGGCTTGTGTATGATACTATAGTATAAAGTGTTTGAGGAAAAATCTTGGATGTTTGAGCAGTTGTGAAAAGCTATTAGAGATACTGAAATGAAGTTCAGGGAGATGCAAGTTTTGGGCTGTAAGTGCCTGGCGTACAATTGGAGGACACCCAAGACCCAACTTAGATGTTGCACATAATGCTGAGCATTTGTAAGGACCTGTGCTTACCAGACTGCTGCATCCTTAAGTCGCCTTTTAAGGGGCTATCTGTGAAAATTTTAGGCCAAATGGCTTATCCAGCACAATATAGGAGACTTAGTAGGACCAGGTGTGAAGGTATTTCTTGCCTTTCAGGATGGCATTTAGTTTGCCTTTAAACATTTAATTATGGTTTTGTATTCTTGCAGTTTTGTCTCATTCACTGTATGCCTCTAACCTCAACAGTGATTTACCTGAAAGCCTGTTAGCAGAGCACATCTACGCTGTTCTTTAATCTCTTTTTGTGCACTGATTGCAGATGTTCCACTAAGTTCCTTTTGTGATGTAGTCTTCCTAAGTGGAGTATGAAAGGGTATGTGGAAAAGTAATCCACTGAGTAAATTTTAGTGCAGAAAAGCAATAATTCTAGTTATCCTAGTTAACTTTGGGGTTTGTTTAAGGTTGGGTTTTTATAAGCTTATTTTAAGCCTCAGTAAACCCAAATTTGTAGTATTGAAGCAATGTTTCCTTGACTGTGCACAGGCCAAGGTGGCATCCCTCCAAGATCTTCTTAATACTCCACTGCCTAAATTTCTGACAGGCATCTCGATCTCATCTCCCCCATATGCTGCAGACTTCAAAGGTAAGTAGTATGCAAGGCTGATAAATGTGAAATAGTGCAGGTTTTTACAGATTTATGCAGAGACATCTTTATCCCCTTTCCTAATAAACTATATTAGCTCATCTTTCCATGGCAGAGAAGTGCCTCGCCTTCACTTTATCATCTGTAGAAATGATGTTGAAGCTGAAGAGAGTTACAAAGGCTTCCCTCTTATGGCTTGCTGAATAAAGAAATACTGTGGAAGATTACCACAGCTGTAGAGAAGGCATAGATCAGGTGGTAGTTTTACAGGCTCCATAGACACCTGTCTATACCTTATAGCAGTCAAAGCCTTAATGGAAATTATCTTAGGTAAAACAAATATAGGAAGCACTAGGTCTAGCTCCAGCATAGGGACTTGCTAGTACCTTTATAGGTAGGTGACGCAAAGTGCCAGTGGTTCCCCTATCGGCTCTTGTGAGGTTTCAGTTTCGTATCACTCTGATCTTGAAACATCACTGCTGTTGCAGCTTCTGGCTTTGCTAGGAGAGCTTGGGAAGATCAGTAATGCACTGTAAACTGGTAGCAGAGTCATCTAGATGTGAATATAGCTCATGTAGACCCAAGCTAAATAAGGTAAGGCTCGTTTGAGTTACTGCAGCTCACTTGCAATATCTATGCTGTCTTGGTGTTGGATGATGAATGGACTTTTGTAACATACGATGCATGCAAGGGCCCCAAACTGTAATGCAGTAACTTTGTATTTTAAGGAAAATTAATATACATATGTCATACTAGCTGTGTTTCTCTCAAAGATGTATGTTTAAAGCGTTGTAAAACATCAGGAGGTAAAGGAAACCTGCCTGATGTTTTGTTTGCAGCTTCCCTAGCACCTGCTGTAGAAACACCTCAGCAAGTCAGTGAGGTGGCTGAATTCACAGGACGGAGACTGAACTCTAAAATGCAAGTTTACTCTGGCTCTAAAACAGTCTGTCTTTCGAAGATGCTTACGCTGTATGAACAGTGCATCCGTGTGCTTCAAAATAATACTGATTGTGAGTATCTTAAGGGATTTGTAGCAGGCTGTGCCTCAAAGTGTATCAGATTTCTTTTTTTTTTCTCCATACCAACAACTGGCCTACTAAAAGATATTGCCCCTCCCTGCAAATGGTGACTCGGAGCAGGTTGAAAGGCACTTAAAAAATGGATTTGTGGCCATGCTACAACATAGTTTTGTTTTGAAAGCTTACCTCTTTTTAAAGTTCTAAATTTAGTTAAAATATAATGTCCTATAATTTATAAGACAGAAAGCCTGCTGTGGGTTTTTTCACCCTACAAGATGTTTGCTTACATAAATTAGAATGAATGATCAATAAATTGTTTTTTTCCCTTATGTAGGCAGAGAGGGGAGTGATGCACATCAGTAAAGATGGGGCAATAGCTATTCAAAGATACTTTCTTCATCCTCAGCTATAACTGCCAGTCAGTATGGAACTGCTGATTTATAAATATTTTCATAGCCTGACTTCAAAACATGTGTTCTGTTAGTGCTTGCTAAAATTAACTTGTATTTTTTAGACAGTTTAATGAGTGGTGTTACCCACTGAGTAAAATAAATGAGATACTGAAAGTACTGTCCTTTTTTGTAGCACTACATGAAGTAGGAGGTGTGCCCTTTGAAATTCTTGAGCCTGTGCTAACACGTTGCACACCAGAGCAGTTGTTTCGAATAGAGGAATGTAATCCGGTAAATTCTGTCTTGCTAAATTCAGGGAACCACGGAGGACATGAGGCATCTTCCTTCCTTGCACACTTTTTGATAAAGATTCTTCACGGGTTACACTGATTTTCTGTCTTGCATACTTATTTCTCTGAATTCAGCTGTCATTATCAAGCCTTCTTTTCTCAAGTGTCAGGATTTAAAGCATTTGGGAGAATTATTACTGATCACTAAGTGAAAGCCAGTGTGGGTAGAAAAGTATTTCTGTTTCTAAAAATAAGGAAACAAAGCCCCCCAGAACTCTACAGTATTTACCACTGAAATAGCTGGGAAAGTCATAGTAGAACAAACTGTTTTCAAGTTACAAACAGTTAAAGCTGCGAAGCACACCAACTAGGAAGTATCTGGGGTGAGATTTCATGTGCGTGGTAGGTTTCTTGCCTACGCTGTTAGGACTTCAACTCCATGATGCATTTGGACATTGAGGTTCTGAGCGTGTAGCACTTCGTAGTGCAAGTTGGCCGTTTCTCTGCATGCCTAAAGTTGAGAGCTGGTGGGGCCTGAGCCTGTACTGGAAACACAAGCCTAGCCTGTAAGCATGGCTCATTAACTCAAATACAGAGATCTGCTCTTTGAAGCTGTGTGATTTCTAGAGCAAAGTCAGTATCTCTGCATGGTATTGCCATGCTCTGTGTTGGGGGTACCTGTGACAGCATGTGTGGTGGGATTTGTTCTTCACCTTTCTCTACCAGGGAATCGGGCTTTGTCTATGGGCTCAGCTAATGGGTACTCTTGAAAATGTTATTTTTAAATCATCGATTTAAGATATCTTGTGTTCAAATTAGACTTTTGTAGAAGAGTCTGACCACTTGTGGAAGAAACACTGCCAGAGAGATTTTAAAAATGAGACCCTCCTGGAATATGAGTCTTGGCGTGAAATGTACTTGAGACTGTTTAAACAGAGAGAAGAAAAACTGAAGGTGCTTACAAAAAATATTCTTTCAGCTCAGTCTGAGAAACCAAAAGGTAAAATCTATGGTTAGCTTTTCCTCTTATAAAACCTGGTCTCTTCTGCTATTCTTTACACTTAATATATAGGATTTAGTGATTTGTTTGCACTGAGTGCTTCTAGGAGAAGTCGTCAAGAAAGAACACTGTTCCTTTTAATTTACAAGTTGCTCAAAAAATGCATAATACACACGATACGTTAATGCATAATATTTGCAGCATACAGTAGGCAAAGCTTACCTTACTGGTTAGACTGAGGATTCTAAGCAACAGTGCAAAGAGTACAAATGTAATTACAAGTAAGAAAATTAATATGAAGAAATACCGCATGCAGTCTGTACATGATTTGCTATGGTTCAGTTACTAGTTTGGTAACACATTCTGCTTTTCTGAATTAATTTTTTCACAATTTAAACCTAGAAATTGTCACACAACCATATTATAAACTAATCTTTGAACATAAAAGGGCAAAAAAGTCACATTCTCTCTTCTTGCTTCTGTATTAGGCAGACAAGTAAAAATGGCTTACATGACCAGTGCAGCAAAACCACCCAGGAACGTTCGCCGACAGCAAGAAATCCACGGGACAGGACCTGTCACCCAACTTCATCCCATAGAGAAGTGCAAGTAAGTGTTCTGTACTGTGTTTTTAATTTGATTTTAGATGTCTTTGTCAGTGCAAAAGCTTGTTGGCAAAATATTTTTGAAGTTATAAATAGCGCTCTATTTGCTTTCCTTTTTTAAGCAGCTAGTGGCTAGAAACTAACTTGCCTTTTAAGTCTTGTGTGCTCCTCTGCTGCGTATGCGTTGTCATCGCACATTTCTCTAAAGTGCCAGTGATGAATTCACCCTTCCAGTTGGAGAGTGAGTGGACGCTGTTTTTCTCCAGATGACACTGATGCTGCTTGACATCCTGGGGAGATTCCCATGTTGATGGTTTGTGTTTATAAACCTGCCTAGTAGCTTCACACGTGCTGACCACAGTGAATCTCAGCAACTTTTAATACTCTTGATGGTGGGTTTCTGCTTTGGCAGCTTAAAGGAGTGTCTGGAACAGTCAGTCTGTAGCAGTGGCCAACACTAATCACTGGAGGAACAGAAAACCGGGATTCCACAAATGTTTCCTTTGTACAGCACAAAGCCATATTTGCTTTCTGACATCTTAGTTCAGAGTAGTTCAACAGCCATGAGAACCAAAGCTGACATGTGATGTTTGTCCTGCTGTTCCTGCTAGCCTAATGAACTCTCTTGCATCCAAGATGGCTGCAACAGGGAGATGAACCAGCTGTAGCACCAGCTCTACCTCTTCTTCCCTTCTGAACTATGTGGATACAGACTGCTGTTCTTTGCTGTTGAATATCTGTTCTTGTCTGAAAGAAATCAGCAGTTTGATTCACAAGCACACCATGGGTTAAGGAGTCATGTGCCAGCAGTTGGACCGTAAAAGCTGTGGAGAGATGAATACTGCCTGAATGTGGGTATCTTAAGCTGTGGTCACTCACTCTGCTGTGGCTGCTGGTGAGCATGGTGCCTTCCCTTGTCCCTGTTGCCTGTGGTTGTTCCTATGTTGTCATAGCTGCTCTTCAACTAGCACTCTCAAAATCATCCCTTTGAGGGAGCGGCAGGTGGAACATTTTTCATTAATCTGAATTGGGGAACAGTTACGCAGGTTGGCAAATATGTGAGTGGATAGTGACAGATAGCTGGGAACAGGGAGGATAAAACTTAAGCAGTTACAAATGTGATGCAAGCTTGACTTAGTATAGCTGAACGTATCAGGAGAGTAATTTTTAAGTTGTTTCTGTTATGATGCTGCAGTGCCTGCAGTTGTGCTGAATAATTGATTGGTCTTAGGCACATGAATTAGATAACTGAACTGACCTGGGTTTACTGGGGGTGGGGGGGAGGGATGGAACCCAAACAGCTACAAAACCTTGGGAGACTGTTTTCTGTGAATTTCAGGAGCTTGACTTAGTTGACTAGTCTTGATTTACTGCTCAAGATGGTGGTGGTATGGGGCAGGAATGACAGCCTGGATGTAGAAGCATCTTAAAATCAGCTTTTACACCAGCTAAGAAGTTTTGATAACTGCACCTTTAGCTGATGAAATTAGGAAGCTCCTTTCCATCCTGTTGCTGTTTTCAGTGAATAGATTGTCCCCCACCAAGGCAGTAGCTTAAGGCACTTTGAGTTAGGCTTTTGCTTTCAGTTGCCCCGTGAGAGGTTGTATTTGTGTTGTGACAGACCAGCCTTCCAGTTTAGGTGCTTCAAGTAAGTAGTGTAAATGTCCTTTTTGCTCCCGTTATCTCTGGACCAGTAGCTGAATGATGTACTCAAAGCCCTGCCTGTTTTTTTTCTCGAGCATGATAGGTTAGGAGGAGCTGCTGTTGGATGAAAGAGGCCATAAGAAGGCCGTTGGTTTGCCTTCTTGGGAAACAAGTTTGTTTAGGCATGATGAGTTTAACTTCATTGCTTTGACCATGTCCTCTGAAAACCTGTTGGTTTTGCAAATTGTACAAGTTGTGCAGTTGAAATCTTCATGTAAGAAGCTGGTCTTGCAGGAGCTAAAAAGGTCTTATGGCAGATGTGCAGATCCCTGCCAGGCTGCTCTTTGCAATTCAGTGTGCAGCAGTAGATGATAACTGGCATCTGATGTCAGTGACCGGGTGAGGCATACAGGGCTGCCCAGATTGGTGATGTCATACTGATACTTTAATGCTGTGTTGATTAAACTGTCTTTAGCAGTAGGAATCATCTCTGTACCTGAATCTGCCTCAGTCCTTGTCCTGTTGATTGAGGATTCCAACCTAATATTTAGCAT